GACCAAAGAACTGTTGTCTCTTTCTCATTGTTGTATATATGTTCTACTTTCATTAGCCATTTTCAGGCATAATTTGTTATAACTGGTCAGGTAGGTGGGGCGAGACGAAAAACACAGAACCCATCCGTGACTCTGGTGATCGTGTGAGAAAGGTTGACAGTCTAAGCTTAACTGGCATGGCACACGACGACCTCTTCACAGGGGCGCCTCGAAATATTTGAATTATTTCTTACATGCGAATAGTCATACTTTTACTTACGTTAGAACGCCGTGGATACATCAGTAATTGGAAAAAGGCGCCTCGACTAAGACAAGTTTAGGAAACACTGTTTTAAGCCATCTACCATCATTTCTCTTCGTCTGCTTTTGCCGCTTCTACCACTGATCTTTCTAGTAGTCACAACATTTGCCAGTGCTCCTTTCCCCCGCCACATGACCAAAGAACTGTTGTCTCTTTCTCATTGTTGTATATATGTTCTACTTTCATTAGCCATTTTCAGGCATAATTTGTTATAACTGGTCAGGTAGGTGGGGCGAGACGAAAAACACAGAACCCATCCGTGACTCTGGTGATCGTGTGAGAAAGGTTGACAGTCTAAGCTTAACTGGCATGGCACACGATGATGATGATGGCAGTCGAAAGTATTCGCAACATTCTCCACAAGAATCCTTATGGTGGACGATTATTAGAATAATTGTTTGTATGGTTTTCGGACAACGCTACGCGCTCGAGGAGCGTCGTGGAAGAGATTGAGACCTCACCACATAAATACTGCCAAAGTTTCGTTGCCCAGCTTCTGAGTTGAGTGCATGACGTGACACTGTGAGTTGCGGATTTCATCTGAACTGTGATAAACATGTTATGTGTTTTTCGTTGGCACAGGCGCGGAGCAAATATGGGGTGACCCGTGTGCTATATAACTGAAACTAAGATTACCAGATTACTGCCAAAGATAACAGCGGTTCACGCCAGTCAACCGTCCTCATAGAAACAGCTATAAACACCCATGAGTAAGTAATAATGCTTAATGTTTAATTAAGAATCGACAACACAGCACTCGGGAAGTTCCCATAACCACTGCGTCCCCATCTTCAGCAGGAAGCTTATAGTTCCAATTCCATTAGCAGCCTTGTTGTACATCCGTCTCCCTTATCCCTTGGGTGCTGACCGTTGACCAGACCCACACGTTCCCCACCAAGCCCCGACTGGTAAATAAAATACAGGACTAGCTATATAAGCCCAAATACGTCTCACGGTGCGGAAAAGAGTTCTTCAATTAGAAGAAATAAGATAAATGGCTGGGCTACAACTTAAATCAACAGTTATAGTGCTGTCGCCACGAACTGTGCAGGCTAGGATGTTCAATTCTGCCCGCGACAGAAAAACGCTATCACATTACTGATAGCTGAACCCGGGTACCAACCACTGTTAACAACAGTTGCAAAGAAGATGGCGCTATATTGGGTACATTCTGAAAAGACACAATCGTACATTCTAAAAGACGCAATCACAGAATCACCAAGCAGGTACTGAAATGGGAAATAAATAGCTTGGGGGAAGTGAAACTAGAAATCCCACAACACACGTTGGTGAGGTAGAGACCACATGTGCGACCTGGATTCCATCTATTTTACCCAACTGAGTGCACCGGAAAGAGAGCAGCGCCGTGGAGGGGGGCCAAGTTCGAATCCTCACTTGGGCAGAGGAATTTTTTTTTCCTGTCGGGGATTTTTTTTTTTAATCCCAACCTGCACAGTCCGTGGCGACAGCATTAGTTAAGCGGTCCTAAATCCTTACGCTCAACCCCCCCCCCCCAGTCAGCAACGACAGGGGGAGGGCGCCCACAGGCAGTAACGGCATGGAGGGGGAGGGGGGAGTGGGTTAGAATAGAAGGGGTATGGAGGCATAGACACGCATTAATGTGACAAATAGGCGCATAACAAGATGATGATGATGACGACATACGGTATGACAATCACAGCTGTTAAACATAAAACAAGATCCCCGCATGACGTTATGCATACAGGGACTATGTAAATTCTAAATAAACAATCGGGTCCATTTCCATGCTAAACTGACAGTTACCAAGTCCCTCGGCGAAATATTCCACGAATAAAATATGTTATTAAACTTCCGTCATTAAGCGTGGCTGCTTTTGCAAACACACATTATGTATGTATAAATAAGGGCGTCGGGTTGCCGGGGATTTTCCGTTTCAGTTTTCAGTGGAGCTCCCGGAATGTGCCCCACTTAACCCAGCATTTCTACAGTATTTAAGGTCATACAAACAAGATTTATGTTGTTTTGCGCCGTAGTCCTGTTGAACTGTTTTTATTTCCGCTCAATAATTACGCTGATGCACGCGTTGTTCTTTGCCGCTTCGGCTGACGGGGAATTGAAACAACAATAGATGCAAGTGTGATTAAAGGGTAGTGGAGTTGGTTAAGAGTTGATATTTAGGGATGAAAAACATAAACATGTGTGTGGTAGCAATAATCTTCTTCTTCTTCTCCCATGATCATCGGCTGTAAGTTCCGGTAGAAAGTCCTGGTTGTTCATCCATTTGGACATTGACTTTGTGCCAGGTCCTGAGTTTTGCGTGCACATCCGTTTTACACGCTTATCTGTGTGCAGTCGGTAGCTCCTTGCCGCTGGTGCAGATACACTCCGATCTCGAAGGAAGTCCCCAATTAGTCGATTCCCCCGACATGCTTGTTGGGGAGGCAGTGGGTCTATTCTAGTTTTACCCCTCAATGGGAGCCCTGGAACCCGCATGGGGAATAGCAATAATGAATGAGTTTCAAACTGCGTGCATTTATTGAGGAAGACTTTTCTTAACGTGCGCTGGAAATTGGCTAGCCACACTCGGTGTCGCATGCGATTCCTTATGCCCGCATGACTGAATCCCTTTAACTGATATATCTTATGATCGCAAGTATGGCATTGGAGCTAAAAAGAAAGCCACGCTTACTTCTTCTTTTCTCAACTTCTGGAATGCCTCGCTGCATCAGAGAGGAAGAGATCTCCGGAGAAGGCCCTTAGGTTAGCTTCGTGATATTTTTCTTTTAGTTCACCTCATCTCGGAGGCTCCAAGACCTCATGGGGAGTTCCCAGGAGAGTCCAATATTATAGTGGGAGGGGGGTTAGGGTCAGTGTTAATCGGTGTTCACTTCACACCCTAACACCCCTAGACTAGTGGACTTTGCCGGGAAATTACTAAGACTGTAACTTGGAATGGTTTATTTCACTATAGAAGATGACGCCAGTTCTGCATGTCAGACGAACAATAATACTGAAAATCATTAACTACACTGCAAGAAATATGAACTCCAATAAGCTCCCCTTAATAAATATTAAAACCACCGCAATAAGCCTGTAACAATAGAACATCGGTTGGGAGTAGACAGCACTACAGAACTACAGGAAAGGATTAGAGAGTACATCAAAAGAACAGGGGTTAGCATATGAGATGTGAACATATCTTAAGGAAGAGATAACAGTAATTTAATACTCATATAAAAAGGAGAAGATTTATATAAACCTTTAGAACAAATTAGAAGAGTTAACAAGTACAGGCTTGTAACTTCAATGTTTAAATATCACGGGAGAAATCAATGTTTTCAACAATTCTTTCAATATCTGGTGATACTTTCTACCTGTAACCTTAAAAAAGAACTGTATTCTAAAATTTAGGGTTTGCTTGTAAACTATACTTTTTTTTTTTTTTTAAAGGGAAAGGACCCTTTCCATGCCTTTGGGTTTATAGGGCTAGAGCTATATTTTACAGATCAATCTGCATTTGGTGGGTGATATGGTCAGCATCACGCCGGCCGCCTTTAATTCCCAGGACTTCACCTGGTACCCAAAGCTCCTTACACAACAGTCAGCAGGGCTAGCACTTTTTTTTTTTAAGGCATAATTTTTTTCAGCATGGTTGTAACAGTCACTTTCTGATGAGTTCTGGCACCTTTTGATAGACACTTTCAGATGTGAACTGGTACCATTTTACATACACTTTCTGGCGAGTATCTGCATCTTTTTACAGACACTTTCTGGCGAGTATCTGCATCTTTTTACAGACACTTTCTGGCGAGTATCTGCATCTTTTTACAGCATCTTTGGCGAGTATCTGCTCTTTTTACAGACACTTTCTGGCGAGTATCTGCATCTTTTTACAGACACTTTCTGGCGAGTATCTGCATCTTTCTGGCGAGTATCTGCATCTTTTTACAGACACTTTCTGGCGAGTATCTGCATCTTTTTACAGACACTTTCTGGCGAGTATCTGCATCTTTTTACAGACACTTTCTGGCGAGTATCTGCATCTTTTTACAGACACTTTCTGGCGAGTATCTGCATCTTTTTACAGACACTTTCTGGCGAGTATCTGCATCTTTTTACAGACACTTTCTGGCGAGTATCTGCATCTTTTTACAGACACTTTCTGGCGAGTATCTGCATCTTTTTACAGACACTTTCTGGCAAGTATCTGCATCTTTTTACATACACTTTCTGGCAAGTACTGGAACCTTATTATAGACATTTTATAGTGTGTCTCTAACTTTTTTTTTTAAAGCCTAGGTGCAAGGATATGTTTTAGGAAGTAAAGACTGCCAGTCAGAATTATGCTGGTCATGTCACCCACTAAGTGCTGCTAAGTCTATAAATACTACTGTTCTAGCACCACATACCTGACTACATTGATTAAAATGGTAGATTCATGTACTAAGATCATATGGCCTCTCAAAAACAAAACTACACGGCTCAGTAGATGGAAAGAGGAGAATAGTCAGACAAAGAAAGATGTGGTTACAGAACTTTATGGACAGAATTTGACAGGCCTTAGGCATGCAACCATGAAGTTCATTACATCTGACCAATGAAGGTGGAAACAGATGATCAGACAGTCAACAGCAACTGGTGACCCAACAACATGCAGTGGGATAATAATGATGATGACGATACAGATCACAAGAAATAAGACAGGAGCCTAACTTACCTAACTTCAATCTTGCATTCCCAAGTAAAGTAACCCGCTTACTCAAGTCACTCACAGATCGGTAAGCAGTTAGAACTATCAGCATACCAATGGCCAGTACGGCCCAAGAGCGTAAATGTAATCCAAAGAACGTTCCAGTGAGTCTTAGAATGGACATGGTATGTAATCCGTGTCAGCTTGACCAACAAGAGTGGCTATAATTATAATAATGTTATACTTATGTGTTATTTACATACAATCTTCCGTAATTTAGTTCTTTTTTTTTTTTTACAATACTTCTTTTATATAACTTTTTTTTTTCACAATACTTCTTCAATATAATTCTCGTCTGAAGAAAAATTCTTTAAAATAACTTTTCTACAGTTCTGTAGTACGACTGTCTTTTTGTTTTTTAAACAAAGCACATGAAATAGTTTTTCACATAAAAATTAGTAATATAATTTTACCATACAAATTACTTACATATTTGTTTAGCACAAACTCAGGAAAATAATGTATATAAACTGTAATTAAAATTTTCCCCACAAATTCTGCAATATTTTACATAAAATATGTTTAATATTAATAATCATTAACTAACCTACTGGTATATTATGAATAATAAATAATATAACCACATGAATTCAGGAAGATAATTTCCCTATAAAACTGTTCACAAACTACATTAAATTTATATGCCTTTGAAATATATTTGCCCCTATGTGGGTTCCGGTGCCCCTATGTGGGTTCCGGTGCCCCTATGTGGGTTCCGGTGCCCCTATGTGGGTTCCGGTGCCCTTATGTGGATTCCGATGCCCCTATGTGGGTTCCTGAGCCCCATTGTGGGAAAAACAAGAATGAACCCAATGCCTCTGCAAAAAGCATTTCATGTGAGTCGACTAAGAGGGGGAGCTTCCTTCAAAGTCACAGTGCTAGTGCCTGAGAGGCCAGGAATCAAGTCTGCACATAAATAAGCCAGATCTGCTGTAAAACGGATGTGCATGCAACACTCAGGTTCTGGAACAAGACTAACAACCAGAACTTTTCGCTGGAGTTTACAAGTGATGAATGCGACGAATAAGAAGAAGATATATACCTGATTTCTTAAGTAAAAGAAGAAGAAATATACCTGATTTCTCCAGTAAACTGGTGCTTAACTCTTTCAGTGCTAAAGAATGCATTATGTGCTGATTTATAACTGTCCTCTCTCACCAAAAGAGTTAAAAGCATTGCCTCTTGGCTCTTATGTTGACCAGCCTAAAGCTAATACACAAGAAATATCCTGGAAGTAAAGACAACTGGCATGGTGCTGATTGAAATACCTACTGAGTTGCTTGTACTGGATGCACCAATGATATGAGAGGGTCTATAGATGAACAGTGTTGAGTGAGGCCAAATGGCTCATCTAAATTCCATTCACAATGTTGAAGGGATTGGGCAGAACACAGCAGTATTAAGAACTTGACTATTAAGAACGGATGATAATCAAGAGTGGTGCCAACGGTACTAGCCATGAGGCCTTAAATCAATCGGGTATAAGACCACCCTCCCCCCACAACACTTTGTCTTACAATACGCTAAAAATCGAATGGTAAATGGAGGCAGTAAAGGCAATAAGAAGTTGTGGAAACTACATTAGACATGTGATCCTAAATCTTCTAGCCTAAAACATCTCCATACAGGCAATAAAAACAACCTTCTGTCTCGTGTACTGTCAATCAACTCTGATACAGATGATCCTCCATGTGATGATGTCAAACTGTCCTGCATCTTTTCTCTCAAACTCCCTTTGCCTCTCTTCCCCTCCAACTTCCCTACTGTCACAAAGTACTTTAGTTTTCTCCTTCTCATCACATGTCCAAAGAATGCAGACTATCTTTTTTGATGTTGGCAATCAGTTCTCTTTGTCAGTTAGTTTCTTTCAAGACATCATTATTATCATTTTAATTATTAATCTTTTTATCTGCCCCAAGTATTCTAATGATTCGTCTATAATACCAATTTCTATAGGAAAGCAGAAATATGATAAATGTTTCTTTCATTTGTAGGCACTAATAAATACTAATATTTTCACTGTAACTGTTATTTTAAATTTTTGCTTACAATAATCCACGAATAAATAAAAAAAATTTTGACAACAGAAACGATAACAACTGAAATTTCAGTGGCTGTTGAAGAATTTTTTTTTTAAATTCATCGTTACCTAATATCTTTCAGCCTTGCACAAAAATAATTAGTGATATAATAATGCTTCAGCTTCATAACTGGTTTTTTTTTTTTTTTAAGCATTCTTACATTTAAAAATAAGTAAACGAAACCAAATGACTACTGAAGTGACTACAAACCTCGGATTACGATACTTTGCAAATGACAATGTGCCCTACCTAGCAACATTTTTGGGAATTAACTTTAACAAAACGTAAAATTCATTTGTAAATTTGTCGGGCCTACTAAATTACCTACGTACAGTAACAGAGACTATAAACTTTTGCTCTTGGCTGGTGTTTGTAGATTTTATTTACATATTTTAGAAAAACGTAAACAAAACAATTAAAATGTTATAAACTACATTAGGATGTCTCACACGGACTGGCTCGACTTCACCGCTTTTTTAACAGATAAAAATTAAAATAATAACATGTATACCTCCAAAATGCGAAAATATCCATAACACAATTTGCGAATTCCAACAACAGTATCCAAATATAAACAGAGAAGTGCGTGTCGCGCCTACTAAATTACCTACACAGAGCAGCACAGACAAGACAACCAGTAACTAACGAAAGGAACCGTATCCAGCGACGGAGTTCAGCCCATCTTGTGGCCGGCCCTCTCGCAGGCGAGCAGACTTCTGCTGGTTTCTCTCTCCAGAGTTAGCTCCCGTTAGTCAGGGATGCCAGGTAGCTACGTTTCAAGCTGCCAAATTATTTTACTAAAGTCGCCCAAATGTCGCCTCCCAGAAGGGGAATCGTTTTGTTTTGAGTGATCATTGACGTAATTATTTCCAGGTGTGGTATTTATCTTTAATGTGAAAACCTGATTTAAAATTATGGGAAATCATAAATTGTGTACATTTTAATCTATCGAATTTATTCTTCGCGTTAAAATTGCTGTTGCTGTGGAATTCCGATGATTAAGGTTGTCTAATCTATCGTCCTCTTCTTTTTCTACCTTCGTCCTTCGGAGGGCGGTTGGGACATTGTGCTGGAGTTCACAGCTAGGCTGCGATATCCAATTTCAGCACACTTCTAATTAGTCGCCTTTTACGACAGACGTTTTACAGCCAGTCCCCCCCCCCCTTCCCCATCCCCCAATCTTCAATAGGGCTCCGGAACACACACAGGGAAGTCTTGCACCCCTCGCTGAGAAGGGAAGATGGTGTGTGTCCATCCCTTTAGGCAAGCGGTATAAGTGAGTCGAGAAGGGGTTACATAAAGTGATGAGATACAGAGAGAGAGAAGGAACTAAATAAATTGATAAGATGCGGATAAGTAGAATGTGTTACATAAAGTGATGATATGCAGAGAGTTAAAACGGTTACAGAAAGTTATGAGATGCCGAGAGACAGAAGAGGTTACAGAAAGTGATGAGATGCCGAGATATAAGAGAGATTACAAAAAGTGAATGCAATGGCGAGAGCTAGAAGAGGTTACAAAAAGTGATGAGATATCGAGAGATAGAAGAGGTTACATAAAGTCATAAAGTGATGCGATACCGAGAGACAGAAAGGGTTCAAAGGGCATGAGATACAGAGATAGAAGGGGTACTAAGGATATCTTAACCCTTCGGCCTTGATTCCGTTAAAGATACCGGGGAAATATGTCGCTTTTCTGCCTACCCACAAGCCTGAACTTGGACCACAATGAATGTGTCATCAGGTCACCGCGCACTTGGTTTAAAGAAATTAGCCAGCGCGCCGGGCTGTGCAGAAAGATGGAGTCCGGTAAAACGGTCACGCAAAGGCGGGAGTTGTGATGCCATAACTGCGATATAATGAGAAAGAATCAATAAAAGTCTTAGTTCAAAGACAGTGGGGCAGAGGTTACATTAATAATTAACTCTGATCCTTAGGTCATCGTCGGCTCTGTGGCTAAGTGTGCGAACGCTTCGTAATGCAATAGTGCGCGCGCCTTGCGTTGGTTTTGACAGTGGTATCGAGACGCCGACCGGCTAGAAAGCAATGGCAAACTTTCATTCATTCATTCAGTAGCATGTCCCTCGTGGAACCTCGCTGCCATAACAACCCTCCGGAAAACCTTCCTATCCTGAGCAAGATGTCCTGCGTCTGATACACCCATCTGGAGATCATCTGCCACATCCTGCACCCATCTTCTCCTTGGCCTTCCTCTTCCTCTCTTCCCAGGCATATACCCCTCCATTATTGTTCTCTCTAGACTTCCATGACGTTTCAAGTGACCAAAATATTTCAATTTTCTTTGTTTTATTGTCTTTACTAGCCAACCCTCTTCAATATTCAGCTCTTGAAGTATGGATGCATTTGTTCTTTTCTTTACCCAAGATATTCTTAGAACCTGTCTGTAACATTTATATTCAAATGCATTTATGCGCTGTTCCGCTTGTTTAGTAAGTGTCTAGGTCTCACAGGCGTATGTTGCAATGGGAAAGATGCATGCTCTTAAAAATCTGACCTTTGTAATTCTATCTGTACAATTCCATAATTTATTTAGTTGTTTTAGTCTTTGAAGAGCAATTGATAGTCGCCGTTTAATTTCTTTCATTGTGTCACCATTGTTGGTAACCAGTGACCCAAGATATTCGAAATTTTCCACCACTTCCAATCTTTCCTCATTAACATATATTTCCTTCTCCATGGCAGTTTTGTTTGTATGCATTATCTTTGTTTTTGCTATGTTAAGAAATAAGTTATGATTTTCACTATTTCTTTGGAGTGAGGTTAATAAGTTTTCTAAACCATTTTGTGATGTTGATAGTAATACAAAAATAATAATGGCAAACTACTAGACGTAAATTTGCCTAGAAAAATCACACAACAGCCAGGGGCTGCTGGGATTGGTTCTGCAAAGTCCTGTAAAGGATACGCATCTAACATTAAAGCCTCAGGTCATCATCATCATCAGCGTAGCCCACTGTCGTGGGTTTGTCGTCTCACTTTAACCAGATTGTAGCCCACGGTCATGGTTTTGTCGTTTCACTGAT